AAGCTGGTTCTTTGAGAAGATAAATAAAATAGACAAACCATTAGCCAAACTCATCAAGAAAAAAAGGGAAAAGAATCAAATCAACAAAATTAGAAATGAAAATGGATAAATCACAACACACAACACAGAAATACAAAGGATCATAAGAGACTACTATCAGCAACTATATGCCAATAAAATGGACAACTTGGAAGAAATGGACAAATTCTTAGAAAAGTATAACTTTCCAAAATTGAGCCAGGAAGAAATAGAAAATTTTAGCAGACCCATCATAAGCATGGAAATCAAAACCGTAATCAGAAATCTTCCAGCAAACAAAAGCCCAGGACCAGATGGCTTTGCAGCTGAATTCTACCAAAAATTTAGAGAGGAGCTAACATCTATCCTACTCAAACTCTTCCAGAAAATTGCAGAGGAAGGTAAATTTCCAAACTCATTCTATGAGGCCACCATCACCCTAATACCAAAACCAGAAAAAGATGCCATGAAAAAAGAAAACTACAGGCCAATATCACTGATGAACATAGATGCAAAAATCCTTAACAAAATTCAAGCAAACAGAATCCCAAAACATATTAAAAAGATCATACATCATGACCAAGTGAGCTTTATTCCAGGGATGCAATGATTCTTCAACATTTGCAAATCAACCTGTGATACACCACATTAACAAATTGAAAGATAAAAACCATATGATTATCTCAATAGATGCAGAAAAAGCCTTTGACAAAATTCAACATCCATTTATGATTAAAACTCTCCAGAAAGCAGGAATAGAAGGAACATACCTCAACATAATAAAAGCTATATATGACAAACCCACAGCAAGCATCACCCTCAATGGTGAAAAATTGAAAGCATTTCCCCTGAAATCAGGAACAAGACAAGGGTGCCCACTCTCACCACTACTATTCAACATAGTTTTGGAAGTGTTGGCCACAGCAATCAGGGCAGAAAAAGAAGTAAAAGGAATCCAGATAGGAAAAGAAGAAGTGAAACTCTCGCTGTTTGCAGATGACATGATCCTCTACATAGAAAACCCTAAAGACTCTACCAGAAAATTACTAGAGCTAATCAACGAATACAGTAAAGTTGCAGGATATAAAATTAACACACAGAAATCTCTTGCATTCCTATACACTAACAATGAGAAAACAGAAAGAGAAATTAAGGAAACAATACCATTCACCATTGCAACAAAAAGAATAAAATACTTAGGAGTATATCTACCTAAAGAAACAAAAGACCTATACATAGAAAACTATAAAACACTGATGAAAGAAATCAAAGAGGACACAAACAGATGGAGAAATATACCGTGTTCATGGATTGGAAGAATCAATATTGTCAAAATGGCTATACTACCCAAAGCAATCTATAGATTCAATGCAATCCCTATCAAACTACCAACGGTATTTTTCACAGAACTAGAACAAATAATTTCACAATTTGTATGGAAATACAAAAAACCTCGAATAGCCAAAGTAATCTTGAGAAAGAAGAATGGAACTGGAGGAATCAACCTGCCTGACTTCAGACTATACTACAAAGCCACAGTCATCAAGACAGTATGGTACTGGCACAAAGACAGAAATATAGATCAATGGAACAGAATAGAAAGCCCAGAGATAAATCCACGAACCTATGGTCACCTTATCTTCGACAAAGGAGGCAAGGATATACAATGGAAAAAAGACAACCTCTTTAACAAGTGGTGCTGGGAAAACTGGTCAACCACCTGTAAAAGAATGAAACTAGAACACTTTCTAACACCATACACAAAAATAAACTCAAAATGGATTAAAGATCTAAATGTAAGACCAGAAACTATAAAACTCCTAGAGGAGAACATAGGCAAAACACTCTCCGACATAAATCACAGCAGGATCCTCTATGACCCACATCCCAGAATTTTAGAAACAAAAGCAAAAATAAACAAATGGGACCTAATGAAACTTAAAAGCTTTTGCACAACAAAGGAAACTATAAGCAAGGTGAAAAGACAGCCCTCAGATTGGGAGAAAATAATAGCAAACGAAGCAACAGACAAAGGATTAATCTCAAAAATATACAAGCAACTCCTCCAGCTCAACTCCAGAAAAATAAATGACCCAATCAAAAAATGGGCCAAAGAACTAAACAGACATTTCTCCAAGGAAGACATACAGATGGCTAACAAACACATGAAAAGATGCTCAACATCACTCATTATCAGAGAAATGCAAATCAAAACCACAATGAGGTACCATTACACGCCAGTCAGGATGGCTGCTATCCAAAAGTCTACAAGCAATAAATGCTGGAGAGGGTGTGGAGAAAAGGGAACCCTCTTACACTGTTGGTGGGAATGCAAACTAGTACAGCCACTATGGAAAACAGTGTGGAGATTTCTTAAAAAGCTGGAAATAGAACTGCCATATGACCCAGCAATCCCACTTCTGGGCATACACACCAAGGAAACCAGATCTGAAAGAGACACGTGCACCCCAATGTTCATCGCAGCACTGTTTATAATAGCCAGGACATGGAAGCAACCTAGATGCCCATCAGCAGACGAATGGATGAGGAAGCTGTGGTACATATACACCATGGAATATTACTCAGCCATTAAAAAGAATTCATTTGAATCAGTTCTAATGAGATGGATGAAACTGGAGCCCATTATACAGAGTGAAGTAAGCCAGAAAGATAAAGACCATTACAGTATACTAACACATATATATGGAATTTAGAAAGATGGTAACGATAACCCTATATGCAAAACAGAAAAAGAGACTCAGATGTATAGAACAGACTTGTGGACTCTGGGAGAAGGCGAGGGTGGGATGTTTCAAGAGAACAGCATTGAAACATGTATATTATCTAGGGTGAAACAGATCACCAGCCCAGGTTGGGTGCATGAGACAAGTGCTCGGGCCTGGTGCACTGGGAAGACCCAGAGGGATCGGGTGGAGAGGGAGGTGGGAGGGGGGACCGGGATGGGGAATACATGTAAATCCATGGCTAATTCATTTCAATGTATGACAAAAACCACTGCAATGTTGTAAAGTAATTAGCCTCCAACTAATAAAAATAAAGGAAAAAAAAAAAGAAAGAAAGAAAGCTGTGGTACATATACACAATGGAATATTACTCAGCTATTAAAAAGAATGTATTTGAATCAGTTCTAATGAGGTGAATGAAACTGGAGCCTATTATACAGAGTGAAGTAAGTCAGAAAGAAAAACACCAATACAGTATATTAACACATATATATGGAATTTAAGAAGATGGTAACAATGACCCTATATGCGAGATAGCAAAAGAGACACAGATATAAAGAACAGACTTTTGAACTCTGTGGGAGAAGGCGAGGGTGGGGTGATTTGAGAGAATAGCGTTGAAACATGTATATTATATGTGAAATAGATCGCCAGTCCAGGTTTGATGCATGAGACAGGGTGCTCAGGGCTGGCACACTGGGATGACCCTGAGGTCATGGGATGAGGAGGGAGGTGGAAGGGGGGGTTCAGGATGGAGAACACATGTACACCCATGGCTGATTCATGTGAATGTATGGCAGAAAGCACTACAATATTGTAAAGTAATTAGCCTCCAATTAAAATAAAGAAATTAAATTAAAAATAAAAAGACTGATCAGAAGTGCTTCAACAGGAGAAGAAAGATAGATGCCAGTTAGCACATTGCTGTCCTGGAAGAAATAAACTACAAAGATCCAAGCACAAATAACTTTCTCTCAACCAACCATCTCAGCTTGAAAGAGAATGGAAAAAAAATCTTGACATAATAAGAGATGGAAACGAGCAGATAAACATTTAAAAGCTTCAGAAGCTGACATCAGTATCATAGGTAAAATTCTTCTTGGAGCACTACAGAGGTGAATAATAAATTGTAGCAATGGGTCTGGAATTTTTCCAAGGAATTATATCAGCAGTGGGCTTCCCCAGTGTCTCAGGGGTAAAGAATCCACCCGCAATGCAGAAGATGCAGGGTCAATCCCTACGTGGGGAAAATCCCCCGGAGAAGGAAATGGCAGTTCACTCCAATATTCTTGCCTGGGAAATTTCATGGACAGAGGAGCCTGGCAGGCTACAGTTCATGGGGTCACAGGAGTCAGACATGACTTAGCAACTAAACCACCACATCAGTTATACAACCACTACAGCACAGAATAACTATCTTTCCTATTGTAATGTGGGGGTGACAATGTAGCATAGCTTCTCTGTGGAAGAGAGATGGGATACCAATAAATTTTAATTTCCCATAACCTAATTTCTGTGAGGTAAATTGTCTCTTGCATCTTGGATCTATCCTTTCCTCCTTGTACATCAATAATGTATAAGATATGCATAGATTTTGAATGCCTTGTTGTAAATATTTTGGTTCCATTTAGCTTACTGGCCCCCAAAAAAAGCAGTCTTTGATGCAAAGTAGGTATGTTTTACAATACTAGAGCCAGTGATGGGATAAGGCCAAAAGTCAATATTTCAATATTTTTTAAACAAAGAAAAAAAAAACAGCAAGAAGGAAGAAATATGTAAACAGAGCTCAGTTGCTTTAGTTTCAATTATTTGGGAAAGGCAAAATAATTGGGGAAAAGTACATATACCTCCTTGGGTTTCTCTGGTGGCTCAATGGTAAAGAATCCACCTGCCAATGCAGGAGACAAGGGTTCCATCCCTGGGTCAGGAAGATCCCTTGGAGGAGAAAATGGCAACCCACTATAGTATTCTTGCCTGGGAAACCTCATGAACAGAGGAGTCTGGCAGGCTACAGTTCAGGTGGGGGTCACAAAAGAGTTGGACACAACTTATCAACTAAACAACAACAACATATGCTAGTCTTCTTTCTGCTTTTTAAAAATTGACTTTTAGTATCTTTAGGGATAGGTTAGTGGAAAGACACTCAATGTGCCAAATGTGTAAATAAATAAACCTATTAGAATGTGGGTATGCATATCAATTAAAAACAAATGTTTTTAAATGCAAACTCCTTTTCAGGTGAAATTACCTATGGTGGAAGAGTTACGGATACCTGGGATCAAAGATGCCTTCGTACTGTCTTGAAAAGATTTTTTTCTCCTGAAACATTACAAGATGGTTATAAATATTCTGAATCAGGTGAGTGACTTCTCAGTACTATGGAAAAAGACCTTTTCCAAGAAGTCATTAACAGCATCCTCAGTTTTCCATCCAGGAGCTGTCTGTGTCCAGTCCTCACCACCTAGACCCCCATATTCACCATCCCCTTGCTTTGTTCCTTTTTCAGTTGCTAAGTCGTGTCTGACTCTTTGCGACCCCAGGGACTGCAGCATGCCAAGCTTCCTTGTCCTTCACTATCTCAAACTCATGAACGTTGAGTCAGTGATGCCACCCAACCATCTCTTTCTCTGTTGCCCCCTTCTCCCCATGCCCTCCATCTTTTCCAGCATCAGAGTCTCTTCCAATGAGTTGGCTCTTTGCATCAGGTGGCCAAAGTATTGTAGCTTCAGCATCAGTCCTTCCAATGAATATTCAGAGTTGATTTCCTTTAGGATTGACTGGTTTGATCTCATTGCTGTGCAAGGGACTCTCAAGAGTCTTCTCCAGCACCATAGTTCAAAAGCACCAATTCTTCCATCCAATTCTCATGTCCATACGTGACTACTGGAAAAACCATAGCCTTGACTATATGGACCTTTGTTGGCCAAGTGATGTTTCTGCTTTCTAATATGCTGTCCAGGATTGTCAAAGCTTCAGCTTTGGCTGTAAGAGTACAAAGATATCTATTGTGTGATAACCATTTTTAACTATTTCTGGTCTAAAATAGATTGTACTCTGTCTAAATGTGTTTTCAAAGTTCTATCACTTCAGAGCACACCTTTCAGCAGCACATCCCTGAATTCTTAGAATCTTGGAATGTTCTGCAGGTGACACCTTAGGACACTGATAGATGCTAACGGCCTCCAGAAAATGCGAAGGAATCTGACACAACAATGAAAGCTAGGGGGCTTGCAAAAAAAAAAATCCCTGTTTCTCCATGATGCAGCTGATAATAGCCACCATCTGAACAGACAGAGAAGCACCAAACTTGGCAGTACTCAAAGGTCATCTATTTAAGACATATTTGCCTTCTGTGTTTTCAATAACAGGTATCTATTTTGCGCCCCTGGCTGACAGCCTGCAAGAGTTTAAAGACTACATTGAAAACCTGCCTTTGATAGATGACCCAGAAATATTTGGAATGCATGAAAATGCCAACCTAGTTTACCAGGTATGTGGCCTTTCAACTTAAATGCATATTCATTTTGTGTATATAAACCTGAAACATCCATAATCATCTCACTGCTTGTGTAAATTATAATCTTCTTAAATAAATAAAATAAATGTTCACCTCAGCTTCAGCATTTGGTTCCAATTTAGCCACCTGTTGTCTCTGGATCTTTCATGGAATCCTTAGATAGTTAGGTTATCTTCTTGTCACTGTCCACCCCCTCACCTTCCAGCCTCTGCCTGGTCCATAATCTATCTGCTAGTCTTTCATTATATGGGAATTTAGATGGTAATCCAGATAGTCCTTTCTCTTTTGTTCTTCTCTATCCATTCTTGGGATATTTATATCATATTATACAAGGATTTATGGATCCACAGATGAATAGGTTATAAAAGTACAATAGCAAATATCCAAGGCAGATAAATCAAACACTGCTCTTCAAAAGCACGGATCATTGATTTTGCTATTTGCAACAGCAGGTTGGACTTGGAGGGCATTATGCTGAGTGAAATAAGTCAGACAGAGAGAGAGAAATGTTGTGTGATATCACTTATATGTGGAATCCAAAAAATACAACAAACTTGTGAAGATAACAAAAAAGAAGCAGACTCACAGATATAGAGAACAGACTAGTGGTTACCAGTGAGGAAAGGAAAGAGTGGGGGGGGGGGNGGGGGGGGGGGGGGGGGCGCAAAACAGGAGTAAGTGATTAAGAAGTATAGACTATCATGTATAAAATTAGAAAGCTACAATGGCATAATGTACAACACAAGTAGGAAATATTTTATAATAACTATAAATAGTGTATAACCTTTAAAAATTGTGAATCATTCTGCTGTACATCTGTAACATATAATATTGTACATCAACTATATCTCAATTTTTTTGACTCAATAATTTTAAAAAAATTATTGAAGTGTAATTGATTTACAATGTTAATTTCTTCTGTATAGCAGTGACTTAGTTATACATATATATATATTATTTTTCATGTTCTTTTCCATTATGGTTTGTCACAGGATATTGAATATAGTTCCCTAGCTATTATATCTTAATTTTTAAAAAATAATCTAAAAATTTAAAAATGAAAGCACAGTTCATCAAGGTCGTAGGACCAGATCACTAAAATCATGGCATCTGGTCCATTCACTTCATGGCAAATAGAAGACGAAAAAGTGGAAGCAGTGACAGATTTTATTTTCTTGGACTCCAAAATCACTGCAGACAGTGACTACAGCCATGAAATTAAGAAACTTACTCCTTGGAAGAAAAGTTATGACAAACCTAGACAGCATAGTAAAAAGTAGAGACATCACTTTGCCAACAAAGTCCGTATAGTCAAAACTATGGTTTTCCAGTAGTCATGTATGGATGTGAGAGCTGGACCATAACAAAGGCTGAGAATTCATGCTTTTGAATTGTGGTTCCGGGGAAGACTCTTGAGAGTCCCTTGGACTGCAAGGAGATCAAGTCAATTTCAAAGGAAATCAATCCTGGATATTCACTGAAAGGACTAATTCTGAGGCTCCAATACTTTGGCCACCTGATGAGAAGAGCTGACTCACTGGAAAAGACCCTGATGCTGGGAAAGATTGAAGGGAAAAGGATAGGGAGCGGCACAGGATGAGATGGTTATATAGTGTCACCAATTCAATGGGCACAAATTTGAGCAAACTCTAGGAAATAGTGGAGGACAGAGGAGCCTGGCATGCTACAGGCCATGGGGTTGCAGAATTGGACATGACTTAGCAACAGAATAACAACAACTTGACCACAGCAGTAGGTCCAAAGAGCAAAATGGATAATCTTACTCCTCCAACACCCTCTGATGCCATGCCATTACTTAAGGGTAGTCCAACCTCCTCAGCATGGCACTCAAGACTCCCCCATGACCGGTCCCTTCCATATCCTTCCAGTTTTATTACCTATCATGTTCTGGAATCTTTAGGTGAACCAAAGCCAAGAAAAGAGGTATGTCCCTGGGGCCCGGGAATACTCTAAATGTTGGAGACCAGATTGGCCTCATGAAGCTGAAGGGAATCACCTTTGCAATTTAAATTTTGTCTCTACAATGAGACAAATTAGAAGGTAAAATCAGCCTAGATATCAAGGAACATGTACAAAACAACTGTGGAACTTCTCAGTGATCCAAAACCTATGTCATGCTCTCTGCCCTAAAAATTGGTTTGCTGTTCAGTGAAGGGCTTCCCTGGTAGCTCAAATGGTAAAAGAATCTGTTTGCAATGCGGGAGACTTGGATTCGACTCCTGGGTTGGGAAGATCCCCTGGAGGAGAGCATGGCAACCCACGGCAGTATTCTTGCCTGGAGAATCCCGATGGACAGAGGACCCTGGGCTAGAGTCCATGGGGTTGCAAAGAGTTGGGCACGACTGAGCAACTAAGCACGGCACATTCAGTGAAGAGTTGGAATATCTTATTTTTCCTGATTCTACTTTCAGGAGGAAAAAGAGGTGGCCAAACCTAGTGTTAATATTCAGTCATCTGACTGTTTGCCCTAGAGTGGGTGGATGTGGAGGTGAGAGAACAGTGTGGAAATGATAGACTTGCTGCATTCAATGAGAAGTCAGGACTTTAGGGAAGAGTAGCGTTCTTGGCAATGTATACCTGTGAATGTAGTTTTTTGTGTTCTCCATCAGTTCTGAATGACTGAGAATGAGACAGTAGGCATGTGGTGAGGCCCCAGGTATATTTTTCTGTCCAGCCTCCCTTCCTTCATTTTTCTGGCACAGTATGCACCTGATTCCTACCTCTTTCCTTTGGGACAGCTTCCACTTCCTCATTCTGTTAGATTCTGGTAAAACCTCCAACCACTCTTTGCCTTCACAGGGGTGGGCATGTGACCCAGCCATCACAGCATCACCCAGCTACTGAACCTGGTCCAAGGAGTAGCCCCATAGCCCATGCTAGGAGAATGAGAGTCCTTCCCTGAGACAAGATATATAGATGCTGGACTGGGAGAGGGCTGTCTTTCCTCTGGAACGACTGACTAAGATGCTGCATGTCTGCAGCATTCTGTGCCCTTACCCTGATACCCTGACCCCTTCTCTCTACCACATGAAGAAGCTCATCTGCCACAGGAAAGAATGAGAGAAACAACCAGACATGAACAGGAGAGAGAATGCTAGATCCATCCATGCCTGAAACCCACATGACTTGAGTTCTCTTCTTCCCAGCTATATATGCCAACATATCCCTTCTTTCTGCTTTAGGTTAGATAATTCTGTATCATCAATAGAGTCTTAATGCAAAAAATATGAATGATTCCTTCCTCAGATCAGCAAACTACACTTACAAAGGTGCATACTAGAGACCAGTAAAGAAAGCTGGGCCTGGCTGTTCTAAATGTTTCAAGACTTTTGACTAACCAGGAAGTCAAGAACTAAAACAGTGTATGTGCTTATTTATGTCCGACACTTTGTGGCCCCATGGACTGTAGCTGACCAGGCTTTTCTGTCCATGGAATTCTCCAGGCAAGAGTACTGGAATGGTTTGCTATTTTCTCCTCCAGGGGATCTTCCCAACCTAGGAATTGAACCCACATCTCTTGCATTTTCTGCACTGGCAGGTGGATTCTTTACCACCAGCAACACCTGGGAATCACAAACTAAAATGGAAAAGTCACTATTAAATGGTTGGCACTGAGCAAGGAAATCAAACTGTTTAACTATAGCATTAAGTAAATAACATCACAGTTGTTTAGGACCTAGTGAATATGTCAAAAGTAATATTTGAAAGAAGATCTGTCATGTAAAATATAATTTTTACAATCAAGATCTGTAATTCTAGGTTCTGAATTCTTTTCTTGGGTAAGTGAATGATGAGTGTTATGACCAGTATAAAGAAAACCTCTAAGAGATTCCAACAAATATACATGAGAAGATACTATGTTTCTGAATAAAGGAAAAATCTAGAAAAATTAACAATATTAACTGATCATGGAATAGGAATTTCTAAGCATAAAATCAAAGGAAAAATAAATCACATTAGAAAGAGCCAGTGGGGACTTCCCTGGTAGTCAGATGGCTAATTCAGGGGTGGGGCAGGTAAACTAAAGTTATAAATATTTCTTAAAAGCAAAATCATGAATAATTTTTCTTTTTACTTTTCTGTGTTTTGTAAATTTTTAATAATGTTCTATAATACTTTTCTAATTGAGATAACATTATTTGAATAAAAGTATGTTCTAAAACTGAATTCTCATTATTTCTTCCTCACTTTCATAACTGCCTTTTAAAGAAGTAACTAAAAATTGTTTAACCATTTTTTATTGTGGTAAAACATATAACATAAAATTTATCATTTTAACCATTTTTAAAAATATGATTAAATGACAGTTACATTAAAGTGTTCAACCAGAAATATTTAACTGTAACACCATAGATGAAATACTATGCATTTCCAATGAGCACATTTTACCAACTCTGTCTTAAACATAAAAAATTAAAATGTCCTTGGTTTTGGCAACAGCTATTATTTCTGTAATAAACTGTATGTGCTGCAAAATTATATTTTTGAGAATTTGGGTCCTCACTGTTCTGTCTCTTCTCACCATTATAGTACAAAGAGACCAACACTTTGATCAACACTATACTTGACGTTCAACCAAGGTCCTCTTCTGGTGGAGAGGGAAAGAGCAACGATGAAATTGTCCAAGAACTTGTTGCTTCTGTACAGACCAGAGTTCCAGGTAGTAAATAATTGTTGGCTTATGTGGGTAATGGGACTTTTAGGAATAAACTCAGAAAGCTGAGTGATAGGCAGGTGTCCAAATCTGCTTATTATGTAGAAGTTTTTCTTTCTGTAGAGAGAGAGCTCTTTCAATGTAGAGGCCTCTATTTATAGATTAGAAGCCTGCAGCCCCTTGACATCTCAACAGCCAGAAGAATGAAGAGCAAGCCGGCTTCTAGCCCAATATAACTTTAAACAGACTTTTTTCTGAGTTTCCTAATGTCTCTAGATCTGTACTGTCCAAGACAGTAGCCACTAGCCACATGTGGCTACTTAAACTTTAAAATTCATTTCCTCAGTTGCACTAGTCACATTTTAAGTGCTGCCATATTGGACAATGCAGATGGAAAACATTTCCATCATCATAAAATATTCTATTGGACAGCCCTGCTCTAGAATCCATTTCACTTTTTTTCTCCAACAAGAGAAGTGCTTGCATATATGCTAAGTCATTTCAGTCATGTCCATCTCTTTGCGACCCTATGGACTGTAGCCTGCCAGGCTCCTCTGTCCATAGGATTCTCCAGGCAAGAACACTGGAGTGGGTTGCCATACCCTCCTCCAGGGGATCTTCCTGACTCAGGGATCAAACCTGCATCTCTTATGTCTCCTGCATTGGCAGGCAGGCCCTTGACCACTAAGGCCACCTGGGAAGTGAGAAGTAGAGAAGAATAATTTATCATTTCACTTCATTTTCTGGTGAGTTAAGGAAACTTCCTGAATGATCACAGAGATCCATTTTCACACTTTTCTTAGAGTGACTATAGATTTAGATGTCTTCATCTATTGTTCATGGTTGGAAATGTCATTATAGGAAAAAGATGAGGCAGAGAAAAAAAATGAGTGACTATAAAAGTAAACTGTGCTTCTGTCTCTGTCCACAGTACTCTGATACCAAGTGTATGGGTTACCCCCCTCCCCACATTAGGCAATTCTCCAACTCTCTGGACACCAACTGGATGTCCTACAACTCAGTTATGACATTAACTATCCAGAGCTGGCACAAATCCCACAGGTTAAGGGCTCAGTCCCATAAGACTGTCCACTCTTTAAATGTCAACTGGAAGTCCTCAGGCTGTGACCTTTATTTCTGACCAACCAGCCATAGATCAAGGATTCCCACAAGCCCCTTCTGGGGTTCAGTAATTTTCTAGACTGGCTCACAAGACTCAGGGAAACAATTCATTACATTTACCAGATTATTTTAAAAAATATTATAAAGGATAAAGATAAGCAACAAGATAAAGAGATACATAAGACAAGGTCCAGAAGAGTCCCAAGGACAGGAGATTTTGTCCCTGCAGAGTCAGGGTGCACGACCCTCCAGGTACATGGATGTGTTCACCAACCCAGAAACTCTCCAAACCCCTTCAGTTAGGTTTTTATGGAAGCTTCCATACATAGGCATGATTGGTTAAATCATTGGCCTTTAATGAGTAACTCAACCTCCAGCGCCTCCCCTCTCCCAGGAAGTCAGAGAATAAAGCTAGAGTGTCCAAATCTCTAATCACATGGTTAGTTTGCCTGACAACCAGTCCCTCATCTTTAGGGTTGGTACTAGAGTCACCTCCTTAACATAAACTCAGGTGTGGTTGAAAGGGGCTTGTTATCAATAATAAAAGATGCCCCTTTCACCTTTATCCATCAAGAGCTATTTCAGGAATTGGGGTCAAAAAACCAATAATTATATAAAAGATGCTCCTATCACTCTTATCAATGAGGAAATTATAAGGATTTTAGGCACTCTGGCCAGAAGATGGAGACAAAGACCAAAATGCACATTTCTTATTACATACAGTAGCACACCCAGGTGGTGCAGTGGTCAAGAATCCACCTGCCAGTGCAGAAGACTCGGGTTCAATCCGTAGGTTGGGACGATCCCCTGGAGTAAGAAATGGCAATCCACTCCAGTATTCTTGTGTGAAAAACTCAATTTCAGAGGAGCCTGGTGGGCTCACAAAGAATTGGGGTCACAAAGAATTGGCCACAAATGAGCATGCATGCATGCAATCACATTAAGCTTTACCAATACTCTTGAAGTGAAAGTCGCTCAGTTGTGTCCAACTTTTTGGGACCACATGGACTGTAGCCTCTGTCCATGGAATTCTCCAGGCAAGAATACTGGAGTGGGTAGCCATCCCCTTCTCCAGGGGATCTTCCCGACCCAGGGATCAAACCCAGGTCTCCCACATTTCAGGCAGATTCTTTACCATCCTAGCCACCAGTGAAGTTCCACCGATACTCTAAAGGCCCTCCCCAAAAAAAAGACCTATGTGACCTCAGACGCCAGTTATGTTCCTCCTAAAACAGGCCCTCAAAAGAATCTTTTCTTGAGTAGAGAGTTCTATAGATATCAAAGCAACTGAATTATTTTAGAAAGCATTTTTTAATAAACATGAGATGGAGAACTGGGTAGAAAAAGGGATGAAGATGGATGGATGGGTAGATGGATGAATAGATGAACGGAGAGTAAAGGTTCTTATTTCATAGAGTTCCATTGACACCTAGGAAGTTTTTCTCTCCATGCTTCATTAAGTTTGTACTTTTGCTGTGAAATGATAAGCAATGCCATCTGTTGAGACTGAGGGGGCAGGGGTACATTTGGCTCAACCAGAGAACTGAGGTTCGGAATAGCCCAAGGGGACAGACAGAAGGCGAAAAGCAAGGGCCAGAAACCACAGCCCTATGGACCCAAGAGCTTGCACTGACCCACACTGCTGTGTGATTTTTCTACAGCAGCCAAAATGAGTAGTTAGAAGGAACTTAATGAACATAGCTCAGAACCACTTGTCTTCTCATGCTTTGCTCAGATATGTCAGGAGAATGCAGGTCCTTCTTTGTTCAGAGCTTATATGAACCCCCACTAGGTGGATTATAGGAAAAGAGAAGAGCACAATTTTTCTTCCAGTTTGAACCATGGACTCATTTCAGAATCCAGTCAGCCCCTTTGAACAACAGTAAGATAAATGCCAAGTCTCTCCTCTCTTGGGGGGTGTCCTGCCCCCAACCCTTCCTCTCCTAGATGCCTAGATGCAACGTGGAGGGCTTCCCCAGGCGGCTCAGTGGTAAAGAATCTGCCTGCAAAGCAGGAGACACAGAATGGGTTCAATCCCTGGATCAGGAAGATGCCCTGGAGAAGGAAATAGCACCCCACTCCAGTAATCTTGCCCAGAAAATCCCATGGACAGAGAAGCCGGGTGGGCTAAAGTTCACGGGGTCACGAAAAGAGTCAGATAAGACCAAGTGACTAGATGCAACATGGGTGTGCAAGGAAGAGTGAGGCTTACATACCCTGTGTACACCAAGGCAGAGGAGACAACTTGAGACCCCTGGCACCTCTGGTCTCAGGAATGTCCCTTGTCTACCATGTAGCACTTGCCCCTGAAGTGTGCACAGCCTGACTCCTGTTCATCCTGGGCCCAGGGACAAGAAAAGTTGGCTTTAAGAAAGCTTAAGATAAGTGCAATGTTATAAGGTGAGAAATCAATGATAATCCATCTGATGAATCTGCTGTGTGTATTTCAGAAATTCTGGAGATGGAAAGCGCTTCTGAGAGCCTTTTCGTCAAGGATCCTCAAGGACGCCTTAACTCCTTGACCACTGTTCTTGGACAGGAAGTGGACCGGTTTAACAATCTGCTGAAGCTGATACATGTATGAGTGCTCACTGCCATCCTTGCTCTTGGGGATCAAAGCGTTCTGGAGCGTGTATATCAATGTGAAGTTTCCATTCCCATCACTTGAACATTTCCATGTGGATGTGCTAACAACCCTTCAAGCCCAACTTGTCTAAACCTTAATTCACCCTCCTCTCACTAGTCTGTGTTCCCTTTCTCTAATAATGGCTTATGACTGCAGGGCATTACAAACCCTTCGTTATCCTAACTTGCACCCTTAGAATTTGATTGACATGTTAGGAATTTGAGCAGGGACCTAAGCACTCAATCAAGAGAGATTCAGATTCAGTGTTTCTTCCCAGTGTCTGCTTGCATGCTAAGTCGCTTCAGTCCTGTCCTACTCTGTGGGACCCTATGGACTCTAACCTACCAGACTCCTCTGTCCATGAGATTCTCCAGGCAAGAACCCTGGAGTAGGTTTCTGTGCTCTCCTCCAGGGAATCTTCCTGACCCAGGGATAGAACCTACGTCTCTTATGTCTAACCTGCATTGGCAGGAGGGTTCTTTACCACTAGCACCACCTGGGAAGCCCAATGTCTAGTTAGCATTTAATACCATAGTCTTTCTGAAGACTATGAAAATCAAGTTTCTCTAAGTATGGGCCATAAAACACCTGCATTAGGATCCACTATGCTGTGTGTTCCAAGTATAAATCCCCTGATTCCACTCCAGGCCTACCGAGTGAGGAATCTTGAGTAATTCCTGCAAATGTGAATTTTAAATGAATACCCCCAGACAATGTCATTGCAACTAAAATTTGAGACTAACTATTTAAACTTTTGCCTTATGCTCAGGAATACTTTCCGAAGGCCCTTGACTTTGTAATGATGGCTACAGGACTTCCTGGTTTCTCTGTGCATGACTTTAATAAGGGAAACAGAGACTGACTACTGAGCAGTAACAGGGGAAGTTTTACTGCCAAGCTGGGAACCAAACACCTGGCACAGGATTAAGGCTCAGTGACAAGACTGGAGAGGACAGCCACGGTAGATTTTTTTTTATGTGAATGAACTTTATTTTTATTTTTTGGCTGTGTTGTGTCTCTGTTGCTGCTTGTGGGCTTTCTCTAGTTGTAATGCATGGGCTTCTCATCACGACAGCTTCTCTTGTAGAGCATGGGCTCGACACACGGGCTTCAGTAGTTGTGGCACATGGGCTCGGTAGTTTCAGCTCCTGGGCTCTAGAGCACAAGCTCAGTAGTTGTGGCTGACAGGTTTAGTTTCCCTGTGGCATGTGGGATCTTCCCAGACCAGGGATTGAACCCATGTCCTCTGCATTGGCAGGTAGTTTCTTAACCACTGGCCCACCAGGGAAGCACTAGGGTAGATCTTTTAAAGACTGACTATTCCCTATTAGGAAATCAAGTCTCCAGATGTTTCTGGTTGTGTGACAATACCCAGGCTCGTGGGATGGGGGTGAGGGGACACTAGATCAGCTGAATACGTGACATCTTCACCTTGCGTCTACTAGGTAAACAGCAGTACCAGACGGCCAGCTAGTCAGGTCAGAGCTTATCACCTTTTCAGTTCAGTCACTCAGTCATGTCCAACTCTTTGCGACCCCATGGACTGCAGCACACCAGGCTTCCCTGTCCATCACCAACTCCCGGAGCCTGCTCAAACTTATGTCCATTGAGTCGGTGATGCCATTCAACCATCTCATCCTCTGTCATCCCATTCTCCTCCTGCCTTCAATTTTGCCCAGCATCAGGGTCTTTTCCAGTAAATCAGTTCTTTACATCAGGCAGCCAAAGTATGGGAGCTTCAGCATCAGTCCTTCCAATGAATATTCAGGACTGATTTCCTTTAGGATGGACTGGTTTGATCTCCTTGCTATCCAAGGGACTCCCAAGAGCCTTCTCCAACACCACACTTCAAAAGCATCCATTCTTTGACACTCAGCTTTTGTTATGGTCCAACTCTCACACCCATACATGACGACTGGAAAAACCATAGGTTTGACTAGACGGATCTTTGTCGGCAAAGTGATGTCTCTGCTTTTTAATGTACTGTGTAGGTTTGTCATGGCTTTTCTTCCAAGGAGCAAGCATCTTAATTTCATGACTAAAGTCATTATCTGCAGTGATTTTGGAGCTCAAGAAAATAAAGTCTCTTACTGTTTTCATTGTGTCCCCATCTATTTGCCATGAAGTGATGTGACTGGATGCCATGATATTAGTTTTTTTAATATTAAGTTTTAAGCCAGTTTTTTCACTCTCCTCTTTCACCTTCATCAAGAGGCTCTTCAGTTCCTCTTCACTTTCTGCCATAAGGGTGGTGTCATCTGCGTATCTGAGGTTATTGATATTTCTCGCTACAATCTTGATTCTAGCTTGTGCTTCATCCAGTCTGACATTTCACATGATATACTCTTGCATATAAGTTAAGTAAGCAAGGAGGCATCACCTTCTACATTGAGTGAATCAGGGTATAGATTAAACTTTGTGATAAAGATTCCCAAATGCAGTGGCCAAAACAAGATTGGAATTCACTTCTTTCTCTGCGAAGAGCCTAGAGGAAGCCCTGCCTAAGGCAGGTAGTTACTCTTGCTTTGTGAGTTTAACCAGGAATCTCACTGGATGGCTGGCTCTTCCAGCCTCAACGGGTGACTTCCACCTTTGGTACTAAGGGGGCTGTTCCAAGTGTTCCCTTTTGCCAGTCACTGAGACAGGGGAAAGAGGGCCAAGGGAGAGCAGCTTCCTCATAAAAATGTCACACAGAAGTGGCATACATCATTTTTTCTTATATCCCTTTAGCCAAAACTAGATCACATGGCAGCACTCCAGCAGCAAGTGTTCCTGGGAAATGTAGTCTCTGTGTTGGATTGTTCTGTGCCCAGCTAAAACTAATGTGATTGTTGTTGTTAGTCGTTCAGTCATGTCCGACTTTTTTGCGACCCTATGGACTGTAGCCTGCTAGGCTCCTCTGTCCATGGGATTTCCCAGGCAAGAATATTGGAGTGGGTTGCCATTTCCTCCTCCAGGGGATCTTCCCAACCTTGGGACTGAACCCACATCTGCTTGGCAAGCGGATTATTCAAAAGAAGAAGAAGAGGTAGATGTTGCTCATCTCTGGCCTCTTCCACCTCATGCATGGTCACCCACTTAAGGATGGATGAGTCCAAATGTCACTTCCTCATAAAGTCTTCCTGGAACACCTGTCCTTCCCTCCACCACCAGATGACAGGGCCCCCTTCTCAGGGTTCCGTCACCTGAGGTGTTTGTGTCCATCACTGTATTTGTGTACAACATACCACCTTGCTTTGTAATTACTCCTCCATGAGTATGGCTCCCCCAGCAGATAATGAACTTGAAGACAAAGGGACTGGTATTAATACATAATTCATATCTGTTTGGGGGCTTCCTGGGTGGCTCAGATGGTAGATAATCTGCCTGCAATGCAACAGACTTAGGTTTGATCCCTGGATTGGGATGATCCCCTGGAGAAGGGAATGGCTACCCACTCTAGTATTCTTCACTGGAGAATTCCATGGACAGAAGAGCCTGATGAACTACAGTCCATGGGGTCACAAAGAGTCAAACACAACTGAGTGACTAACACTTTCATCTCTGTCTCCCCAGTGCCTGACACAGCCTAAATCTTCCATGAATATTTGAACATGCAAGTGAACTAACATGGCTCTCAGGAGTGCCATGGGATCAACAAAGTGATCCCTTCTGTCAAACAGTAGTGTCCACCACTAATGGAAGAATTCACCTAATAAAAGCAGAAGAGGAGCCCCAGGAGAAGCAAGCGGCAAGGCAATCAGGAGTCAGAGCTGAACACTCCCATTAGATGGAGGGTAGTGGCCACCAGGGGTGCTGGGCTCCCTCATCCTGACACCTGCCCACTCCTGCCTGGCCCTGGCTGTGTTGCAGCCTCACCTTCACTTCACCCAGCGAACAGCAAGGCTGCACTGTGGCAGCAACAAGAAAGGCCAAGGGAGGGTGGGAGCATCCGGGGCTTTGGGCTGCCATCTTGGTGAGCTCGCTGGTACGGGACTGTGAGACCAGGCAGGTCCTGGGAGAGATGAGGTCGCTCAGGGCTGCAGGCTTCTAGATGTAAGGGAGAAAGATCTGAAGTGCATTCCTTTCGCTGAACATGACTTCTTGTCAGCCGCTGCCTCTGGGAGAACTGGCAGCAATGTGACCTCTGTCTACTTTCCATTGATCTAGACCGCACTGGCAGCCTGGTCCCTCCAGCAATCTGACTCAAGTGTTCTCCAGGCATCTTAGATATGTCTTCTGCTACCTTCTTCCATTTTTGGTGTCTAAGGTCGAGTGGTGTTTTGGCCCTGGCTAAAGGCCCTTTTCCTCTGCTCTGCTGAATATGGTTCTTCAGATCCTAAGGGCATATCTACTTAAAACTCCTCTTTTCCAGCACTGCCTCTTGTGACAAGAGATGGGAAGAGGGGGAAAACTCCATGAAGGAATAGAAGGATGACTAGCCCTGTCTTATCCACATGTCACCTTGTCTCTAGAACTGTTTGCATATGGTCCTAGGACTTGGGCTACCTAAGTGGCACTAGTAGTAAAGAACCCACCTGCCAATGTAGGAGATGTAAGAGATGAGGTTTCGATCCCTAGATCAGGACAATCCCCTAGAGGAGGGCATGGCAATCCACTCCAGTATTCTAGCCTGGAGCATCCCATGGACAAGAGGAGCCTGGCGGGCTACGGTCCATGGGTTCACAAAGAATTGGACACTTTCATCAACATAAATTTGCCCTCTAATATCTTCCTGTAATATTTCCCCCATATATGGCAGCAGTTTTCACAAAACTGGAACCGACCAGAGGCATGTACAAATCTATGTTGTTATTGTTTAGTTGCTAAGTCGTGTCTGACTCTTTTGAGATGCCATGGACTATGGCCTGCCAGGCTCCTCTGTCCATGGGACTTCCCAGGCAAGAATACTGGAGTGGGTTGCCATTTCCTTCTCCAGGGGATCTTGCAGACCAGAGATTAAACCCACATCTCCTGCATTGGCTGGCAGATTCTTTACTGCTGAGCCACTGGGAAATCCCTATACAAATCTATACACCCTGCTTTTACCTTTAGCCTGATAGCAGATATTGCTCTGTACTTCCCATGGCTGCTGCTGGCCCAGCATCTCCCAGGACTGCTGCCAGCCTCTGTCTTTTGTTGAGATGAGGGGATGATAAGGAGTGTACCTTTAAAGAAGTATTTCCAGTATAAGGAAGCTCTCTGGTATCAACTGAAAGATTGGTCTCATCTAAGAATCTCCCCTTCCTGCTATAACTGCTGGGGCTGCAGGCATCCTCTGGGCAGAGTTGGAGGTACTTCCCATGTCCCCAAATCCTGCTGTGGTTCCCAGATCACTAACTGTAAGGCTCATTCTTCCTTCAGCCTGGAGGAGAGCTGGACAGTGGCACTTCTCAAAGTGCTTGGGAGACGTTTCTTCACCTTCCCTTCTCTATCCACTTCACTGTATCATGCTACTAACTGCCTAAGCCATGCCCACTCCGAGGTCTTACACCTCTATGTCACAGGTTGTAAAAACTGCATGAAGATTGGAAGGTCTGACCCAGCAGAGGGTCTGCAGAGAGGATACAAGCCACCAAGCAGGCCCTTCAGCCCAAGGCAACACCTGCCACCATGAACGAGGGTCATTCCCACCTGATAACAACATCTGTGAAGGGCACCAATCCTTTCTTGTTCTTTCAGACCTCTCTAGATACACTCAACAAAGCCATTGCTGGATTGGTGGTGATGTCTGAAGAAATGGAAAAGGTGTATAACAGTTTCCTCAACAACCAGGTTCCCTCTCTATGGTCCAATACCGCCTACCCATCCCTGAAGCCACTAGGATCTTGGGTCAAAGACCTTATTCTGAGGACTGCATTTGTGGACGTAAGAAAATTTACTTCTTTGGGATCTGATCAATCTGATGACATGGTTGGCCCTGGGGTCCTTAGGAAGCCCTCACTAACTGAAATATTGACAACCACTGAGGGATCATCTGAATCCAAAGAAACAGAAACTTCTGGAATAGCATCACTTTTAAAATCTTGCACTGATTATAGTATAGTTTGCCCTGTGCCCTTATCCCCACTTTTCATTTTAATTCCAGGCCATCCTTGGGTTTCAGATCTCATTCATGGAATCCCCATCATGAGGTACAGAACCAATCTGACATGGGTCCAAGTGGCCAGGCGTGACCTTCCTGTTATCTCCCTCTTCTAGAACCTCCCTAATAACCAGGTTCTGGGTTTATGGTCAGCCTGGTAGGTGAGGAAGGGGGACAGGGCAGGCAGTAAGAATGGGGCCGGTGATAACTCAGGATCGGTTTAGATTCTGCCTCCTAAGAGACCCTCCGAAGTATAACTCTGCTTTAAATGACAGTTGCTATCTCAGACCAAAAAAAAGTACATTATAGTATAATGTTTCTCTTTTAGCTGTGGCTCAAAAGAGGACAGCCCAAGTCTTTCTGGATCTCCGGTTTCTTCTTCCCTCAAGGATTTCTAACAGGTATCACTGCTTTCCCTAGAAAAATCCCCATAGGAAAAAATCAATAAGTGTGTGATGAGTCGTGCTGGGTTTCTGGGAACTGGGAAAATGGCATGACTGCTGATGGCCTAAACCAAGGGGAATTGATTATACGGCGCCCAACAAGGCCCTGCTCTCCCTCGCTTGCAGAGGAAAAGGATGGCAGAAAGAGCAGGTGTTCCCCCAACAACTTAATCCCAGCCGCTCTCAGTTTACAAGTCTAAACGCTGCTTCCCTGAGAAAGCACACAGCTGCCCCAAGTCCCCATGGGACCCATGCTCAGGACACCGCCTGCTCTCCAATTTCTTTGGTTCCAACTCTGAGAAGCTTGCTTCTCTCTAAAAAAATACTTTTGCTGCTCCTGCAGTGGTCCTCAGGGATTCTGGCCAGAGAGCCCCAGAGGGCACTAAAGCCTCTGGGCTCCTAGATGCTAATTTTTTTGTTGTTTAGTCTGCAAGTCCTGTCCAAATCTTTGCGACCAATGGACTTATAGCCCGCCAGGCACGTCTGTTCATGGGATTTCCCAGGCAAGAAGTACTGGAATGGGTTGCCATTTCCTTCTCCAGGAGATCTTCATGACCCAGAGATTGAACTCGCATCTCTTGCATCTCCTGCATCTCCTGCACTGGCAGGTGGATTCTTTACCGCTGAGCCACCAGGGAAGCCCTAGATGCCAATTAGCCCAGCTCTTAATCTGTCTCATCCCGAGTCCCTCATACACAGCCCAGAAACAGCCCATACAGGACAAGCTAAGCAAGATGTTAAAGTTGGGAAGATTGGGCTCTGAAACACCCTTGCCGGCTTTTCTCCCCCATTGGCAGAGCAGTTCACTTTAGACTTGGCCCTCTCTTTCCCACCAGGCCCAAAATTCATACATGCTTTGACTCCACCCCTCTCAGTAATTCAGAGTAAGATGTTAATGGTTGGGTCTTCTGGATGGAGAGGAAGCTCTTTAATGCTCTTTAAGCATACTGGTCCAGGCAAGTGGAAACTGTGTTTGGATAATAGCACCTCAGCTTTCTGGCTTTCGTATTTACAGGAACTCTTCAAAATCATGCTCGGAAATACAATTTGCCTATAGATGAGCTGAGCTTCAAGTACAACATGGTTCCTGTCTATCGGGATCAAGCCGCAGTCATAGAAGCTGCCAAGACAGTGCAATTTGGACAAGAACTGCCCATGGACACAGAGGTACTGTCCCCCTGACCGTTGTTACAGCACAGCAGCTTCTATCTACTGTCATCAGGATCTCGAGCAATCTCCCCTCCCTCACCCCTCCCACATTCCATTTGCAGGAGTCAGAGAGGACAGGATGGGTCTACACCTCTAAGCATGCATGCATGCATGCATACTAAGTTGTTTCAGAAAAAAAAAATAATAAGTCGCTCCAGTCGTGTCAGACTCTCAAGACAAGCTCCCAATTATCAGTGACTGGATGGCAACCACCTAAATTTGTCTGATCTGTAGAAATATATTTTACATCAATACTGCTTATTTCTTTAGATACTTATAGTAACTTTCTCTTTCATGTGGAGGCAATATTTGTTGTCTAGTCACTAAGTCATCTCCAACTTTGTGCAGCCCTGTGGGCTGTAGCCTGCCAGGCTCCTCTGTCCATGGGATTCTCCAGGCAAGAATCCTGGAGTGGGTTGCCATTCCCTCCTCCAGGGGATATTCCCAACCCAGGGACTGAGCCCACGTCTCCCACATTGGCAGGCGAATTCGTTACCACTGAGCCACCAGAGGAGGCAATGTAACAAGAGGTTGAAAACCAGAGTTTCAGCATCAGGCAGGCCTGGGCAAATTCTGCCTTCCCTCTCCCCAGCTGTGTGTGCTGCAGCAATGATTAACATGTCTGCACCTCTGTGTTCACATCTGCAAAACAGGGCTCGTGCCACCAACTTCAGAGTTGTAGTGCATTGTCAATGAGACTGCAGGTGTCACATGACCACCATGTAGTATACTCACAGTATATAACTATTACCAGAAGTTAAACTTACCTGCCTCATTCTCTCAGCTGTCTTCTAGCAGAACTGATATGCTAACTTCACACATCATGTAACTGTAACTACATTACATAACCAGTAGGAATGCACTAAGGAAGCAGTTCAGGCTCTTTGCTTACGTGGTTTACTCCCTCTAGAATAGAGATTCTTGAAGTGTGATCCCCAGACCAGCAGCATCACCTGGGCACTTATTGGAAATGAACTTATTTGCAAAACAGAAAACAGACCCACAGATGTATAAAAGTGGGGAGAAAGAGTAAGTGGGGAGAGGGGAGAAGGGATAAATTAAGAGGTCGGGATTAAGACATATACACTGCTATATGTAAAATAGATAAGCAACAAAGACCTACTGTGTGGCACAGGGAACTATACTCAATATTTTGTAATGATCTGTAAGGGAAAAGAATCTGAAAAAGAGTATATATATACAAGTATATGAGGCTTCCTCAATGGCTCAGTGGGTAAAAAATCCACCTGCAACGCAGGAGACACAGGAGATGCAGGTTTGATCCCTGAGTCAGGAAGATCTTCTGGAGGAGGAAATGGCAACCCACTCCAGTATTCTTGTCTGGAAAATTCCATGGACATAGGAGCCTGGTGGGCTACCGTCCAAAGGGTCACAAAGAGTCAGACAAGACTGAGCAACTAAACACATACACATATACAAGTAGATACACACATGTACATATATATATATATATATATATGTATGTATGTATGTATGTATAACTGAACTGCTGTGCCTGAAACTAACACAACATACTTAAATTTTCTTTAAAAAGTAAAGTAAATTACCATTTATTTATGGGTCCCAAGGACCCATTCCAGATGGAATCAGAAACTCTGGACTGGGATCCAGAAATCTATATTTTAATAAGTCCTCCATGGGGTTCTTGGCCCCTCAAGTTTGAGAACCCCTACTCTAGAATATCTCAACCTGGATTGCAGGTTAGAATCATCTTTGGAGCTTTAGAAACATCCTGATGCCCAGACCACATCCAGTTGCATCAGAATCACCCCGATGACATCAGTCATCTACTTGTTAAAGCTCCCTGGGTGCTTCCAGCATACAGCCAGGGCTGAGACTCACTGCTGCCCATCTGAACTGCCTGTCTCCAATGTGCTGAGATATTAATGGGGCAGGGGAGCCTCCAGAGCACCTGTCCATCCTAGTGGGGCTTATAAATGTCATTTTCTATATGTGCTATGACATCAAAGATCTGTTCCAGATTGCTTTTGCTAAGAGTGTGTTTGCTAGCCGGTCAGTGTAGATGAGATAAGTGACTTTTAGTGAGTTTCCTTAAAATATCATAGTATTAATAGTAATTTATCCTGGGTAATTTAATCAGTATCCACCCCACTCAGATCTGCTTTATCTAGTCTTTGCTCTGATTAGCAAAAATGCACAAAAGTAAGACTGATCCCATATTCATGGATTATTCTACAAAATACTATAATTCCCCATGCCTCTTAATTGCCTGTATCTTAAAATGACAGTGAAAGAGTTTGTCTTTAAGAACATTTGTTTTAGCCTCAAAATTTTTTTATCTTAAAGTATTAGCATGTAAAAGTAGGGAGGAAATCAGTTTAGAAATGCACTTGCTGTTATTTTGAGACCCTTCTCAGCCAGGAGAGTGTCACGGGCCCAGGTCAGGAATAATGAGTCTGCAGAAGGGCAGGACAATACCCACATAAAAGCCTTCATCCAGGCCATCCTGGATGTTGGCCCTGCTCTGTGCCTGGCATGCTCTATCTGCCACATAGGCCAACTGACAGACAGAAGTTCCCAGTAACTACTGGTGTCTCTGCCCTCCAGCCACACCAGTACACACACGTCTCCACGTGGGTCATATGCAATGAGCTACAGTGATGCCTGGGAATCTGCCTTCTGTGGAGACTGCATATTGTATAGTCAGCCCATCTCTTGGTCCTCCCAGAAAACACAGCAAGAGATTGTTAGACAACTTGAGTTCTGCTACCAACAACAGGGCCACTGTCAGCCCAGTGCCGCCTTGATGCCATTTAGGTGTGTGCAGATGACTCCTACACACAGCCTGACAAGTACATGGCAGGATGGTTTCAGCCTCTACTCAGGCAAACCTGCACAAGTGTATGTGGCAGCCCCAATAACAGGAAGGCCCACTGCACCATGCTGTACCCATGGGACAAACTACAAGATGCTAGAAAGTAAAGTCCAACCAAAAAGAGCCTATCATCCTTTGATTCACTATAAAACATACCACTTAAAACCACACTGCTTAGTCCTCTGTCTGCAGGCGTGAAGCTCCAATTGTAAAAAGATCTAGGGCCCCAGGACTGGCCAGATTCACTCAGTGTTTGAGGAAGGATACACAGAGCTCACGCCTGGCAGAAACTAGACACTAGTGATGACATCTAACCACAGGACATTGAGGAATAGGGTCTCTGTTCCTGTCTCTTTCTCTCACAAAATTTCTTTTAAAATAAGTTTTTCCGTAAGCATTCTGCAAATATTGTCACAGTTATATAATCTATCTTCTGGAAGAGCACTCAGATCTTTGAAAGGCCTTGCTAAAAATAACAGATGATAATCACAGCCCTCTTGGCCACTTCCCATGAGAAGGGGAAGATCCTAACATCATGGTATCAGAGACTGAAGCCCATCAGTGGGTTTCCCTGGGGTACCATGTACCAGACAGCCTCGTGGAGTGTGAACGAGGAGTGTGAACGTGGAGTGTGAACGCCTCGTGGAGTATGAGATTTGGTGAAAACTGAAAAGCAAGTTATTTCACCTTTTGGAGCCTTGGCATTTTCAATCTCTAAGATGTGAGGGATAAGAGAATCTCTAGAATAGTTCTTCGAACTGACTGAGGAGGCCCAAGATGGTGGCCCCTCCTGCTCTTCTCACCTCTGAACGTCTGCGTATCTTTCAGTTGCCCTCTCCTGAGGATGGCGTTCTTGTCCATGGGATGTTCATGGATGCTTCTCGATGGGATAATAAAGACATGGTGATAGAAGATGCGCTGCCTGGACAGATGAATCCAATGCTGCCTGTGGTGCATTTTGAACCACGACAAAATTATGAGCCAAGCCCAACACTCTACCACTCCCCACTTTATAAGACAGGGGCTCGAGCAGGAACCCTCTCAACCACAGGTGAGGACATTCTTATATCAGCAATGCAGACTACAACCAAAATCCAAATGCTTTTTTGTAATGTACAAATGTACAAATGGTGGTCTTGGGTCAGTTAGCCAGGCTTAAAATAAGGCCGCTTATAACATACAAATTTATCAATGCTGTAAATTCTATTCATCTTAATGCTGAGTATAGATTAATATTATAAAACCAATGCTTGTTTCTATTAGTCTGGTGGAGGTAATGAGTTAAAAATAGTTTATTGAGCAATGTCTCCTAATTTCAAAATGATGGACTGAGTAGACACTAAAACATTGCGACTCAGCATAGAAAGAGATTTTAAAATAAATAAATGAATGCCATGGTACAAAAGGGGAAATCTTAGTAGTCCTGAAACTGAGATACAGCCCTGAAAAAAAGGAACCAGATCTTTAAAAAGCCATTATCAACAGATAAGCTGAAAGACTGAATGCAGATAGCTAAAGAGTGAACCAAGAAAAGAGAATGCACTGAGGAAATCCCTAAAAATACAGCTCAAAGCAATTTTTTTTTAACGTAACACTGTGGAAAGAGTCAAAATTTCCAACATTTATCTAGTACGTAATCTGGAAAGAGAAAAGAGAGAAAAATGGAAGAACAATAATATTTGAAAAAGTGGCTGATAATTTCCCAGAACCAAAGAAACACTTGCGTCCTCAGGTTAAGAGAGATCACAAAGTAGAAGAGGTAATTTTTTAAAATAGACAACAAGCCAATAAACAATCAAATTTTAAAAGAAACCTAGATATATCAAAGTGATACTTATAATTATCAGAAAGAAAATTCTCAAAGAGATAAAATGTATTAATAGGCTGGAAATAAAATTCCAGAAAATGAGAATCAGATTGACTTCAGAAGTGTCTCATCATCCACACTGCACATAAAAAGAGAATAGAGACACCTCTTTAAAGTGTTGAAGATAACAACCGTAAACTAGAATGGCAAATGCAACCAGATTATCATCTGAAAGGAAAGTTGTAATAACAACTGTCTTGAACATACAAGGTCTCTATATTAATCACTACTGATCCTCTATTTAAAACTCACACACAGAGTTAAATCTTTAATAGTTTGATGATAAAAATGAATTTATAATAACTTGGAACTAAATTTCCAAATGACAGAAATATCGGATGGAGGAGCAGGGCAAGAAGAACTAAAACAGTTGTTCTCATTTCAATGGAGGATGTGTAGATACCGATGATATTTATTTTTCTCAGTTAAAGGATGTCCTCTCAGGGCAAGGTACAGAGTAGAACTAAGGTAGCCACTCATGTCACATGATCTACCACTCCCATGACAAGTCTAAAACACACATTATTCAAAGGTATTTTAAAAATTAATATGGTATTTACAAGTTTTTGTAGGGATATATGCTTTATTTATCTTGGATAAGTATCTAGGAATGGAATGATGACTCAGGCAGTAGGTATATGTTTAACGTTTTAAGATACAGCTAAAATGTTTTCCAAAGTCACCACAGCACTTAACATCCCCACCAGCAGTATATGGGGGTTCTAGATCCTCCAGATCCTCACACCACTTAGTATAATCAGTCCCTTTAATTTTAGATGATAGATGACAGATAGCTTGATGATAGATAGATAATAGAATATAGTGGTATCTAATCTTCATTTCCCTAATGACTAGTGACAGTAACCATCTTTTCTGGTGCTTATTTATATCTTCTCAGATGAAGTGTCTGTTCCAATATTTTATCCATTTTTTAACAGAGTCACTTCTCCTTTTATTTATTACTGGCTAAAATTCCAACAGGAAATCTGTGGTTTTCAGGAAGAGGCAAAACTAGTAATTAATATGACAATGCACTGGCACAAGACTCAATAAACGATCAAACTTTGTACCGGATAGACAGCACAGAAACACACTGTGTATATGGGGAACTTGACATGTAATAGCAGCATCATTTAAAATTGGTCAGGAAGCGGGAGATTATTCCATAAATGATCCTGGGACAACTGGTTATGCCAAACTAAGATCCTTATCTCATATCACTATAAAAATTAAATCACAGATGAACTTAATCACCATTAAAATTTAAAATTTTTAACCTAAATGAAATAATGGCTCTAAGTAGTAATTGAGCTTCCCTGGTGGCTCAGTGGTAAAGAAAAATCCACATGCCAATTAAGGAGATGAGAAGATCCCCTGGAGAAGGGAATGGCAACCCACTCCAGTATTTTTGCCTGGAGAATTCCGTGGACAGAGGAGCCTGATAAGCTACAGTCCATGGGGTCACAAAGGAGTCAGACATAATTTGGCACCTAAACAACAAGTAATAATTAGCTTCTGTGGACACTCCTTTCAAAGAAAGACAACCAGACACGAGGCGTTTCCTGATGGCAGCGCATACCACTTAGGAAGTATTCTTGCAAAAAAACCTCAACCCTGAATGTGATCCTGCCTCTAGAGCTAACCACTCATACAGGGATAGGGAAACATGTGTAAAATCACCAAAGGGACACTGTCAGCAAAAGCCAGACTCTGGGAAACCTTATGGGACAAACAGCTGGTTGTTCCAACAAATACATTACAAAGGAGTGGCAAAAGAAACAGAGGGAATCTACCAATCGAAAGAGATCCAAGAGACACATCACTGTTGCAAGATGCGGACCTTATTTATTTGTATCTCAAATCTAACAAATGGTTACTATACATATATCTACCGTAATATTGCTATAAAATGTTACTCAAGCACTCGCCAAGGTACATGCAGGGAATGACATAAGGAGAGGGGAGATGTAGGCATTCTCTGCTGGGGACACCCCCAGTTTCCCCAACTTCCAGGCAGATGAAGTTTGCTGTGAGTGCCAGAAATAGCAGCTCCCATCTTGAGGGCAAGGCTCTTTTCTCATCCTGGTCTTGGTCCCCTCACACAGGCTCACAATGAAGAAACTGCAAAAGTGATCTCTTACTTCAGACGTCTCAGAGCTGAGGACAAACTATCTATGACTCAGGATCCCAGTGCCTTACCTGCTGGGTGGAACAAAGGGTGTATGGATGGATGGATGGGTGAATGGAGACAAGCAGATGGACAAATGGATGGGTGAATGGAGAAATGGATGGATGGATGGAGGGAGACGAGCATATGGACAAGTGGATGGATGGATGGATGGATGGATGGATGGATGGATGGATGGACAAACAGATGGATGGATGGATGGATGGATGGATGGATGGATGGATGGATGGATGGATGAATGGAAAAGAAGATGGACAAATGGATGGACAGACAAGCAGATGGGCAAATGGATGGATGCCTAACCTACCAACCACACCCCCAGAGTCTCACTAAAAGCTCAGGCCTCAATCTCCTAGTGCAATGCTCGGAGACAGACTGCAGGGAGATTTGAAACATAATTTTCTAAGGTTATACAAGGTCTAAACTGGATAGGTCCTAAAGGATCATTTGTTCTAACATCTTCATTTTATGGAGCATGAAACTGAAATCCACAGAGAATTGTTGCCTCTTTAGAGGCACAGACAGGTCTAGAACCCAGATGTCTTGACTCCTGGTACCATGATTTTTATATTAAGGGGTTGTTCTTTAACAACACTTTTTCCTTGTATCCTTAACTAGGTCATTCAACCAACTTTGTGGTGACCGTCCTCTTACCCTCCAAGCGGTCCAAAGATTACTGGATTGCCAAAGGATCGGCTTTACTCTGCCAGCTAAATGAGTGAAAACATGCCACCTCTGTGCTCTTCAGAACCAGACCAGAGGTCTTTCCCTAATGGGGAGAAAATTCTTCATAACTTACAAATAAGCAAAAGGGGTTTACTTGTGATCTGACGTAAACATAGCTAGTGTGGCTTTTATTTCTTTTATAACCTCAAATAAAGTGTTTGAGTTCTTTCTTTCTGCTGGTAATTTAAACTCTGATGTGAAAGCAGTGGGTTTACCCTCACATCTTAAGCCTACTCCTCCTCCCCCATGTGAGAGGCAGCTTCCCATTTGTAAGGAGTTGGGCCCAGCATGAAGGGGCAGAAGAGGTTGGGCAGAGTCAGAGCCCAGGACTTCCTCATCCATCAGGGCTTCCTTCCTCTTTACATGAACATGAAAGGCCCAGTGTACATGTCAGTCACATGGCCCTAGGTCCTTCAATTTCTAGACCAGATTAAAAGCCCAATGCATGAGATCTGGGCCCACGGTGACATTCCTCCACCCTGTGGGGCTGGATTGCAATTCTTAGAAGAGCCTGTGGTGCTCTCACAAAAGAGCAGGTCACTCCTGTCCAAGTACAGAGGAACTTTCCACTTTAGGATAAAATTACTGGGCTTCCCTGGTGATTCAGATGGTAAAGATGGCTCAGATGCCTGCAAAGCAAGAGAAGATCCCCTAGAGAAGGAAGTGGCTCCCTACTCCAGTATTCTTGCCTGGAGAATCCCATGAACGGAGAAGCATGCCGGATTACAGTCCATAGGGTTGCAAAGAGTCAGACATGACTGAGCCACTAACACTTTCATGTGAAAACTGGCCAAGTCCCCCCCAGGTGCACTGGCGCCCCTGACACCTCAGAGGTTGCTGGGCCAGTGCTGACATGGAGCAGCCACTTTGGGGTGGTTTGTTTTTTAAATTTTTATTTATTTGCCTGTGCTGGATCTTCACTGCTGTGCCCAGGCTTTCCCTAGTTGCGGCGAGTGGGGGCTAGTTTTGGTTGCTGTGTGTGGGCTTCTCCTTGCGGTGGTTTCTCTTGTTGCAGAGCACAGACTCTAAGCATGTGGGCTTCAGAAGTTGCAGCACACAGGCTCAGTAGCTGTGGCATGCAGACTTAGCTGCTCTCTGGCATGTGGAATTTTCCCAGACCAGGGATCAAACCCATGTCCCTGAACCCATGTCCCCTGCAATGGCAGGTGGATTCTTATCCACTGTACCATCACTGTGTTTTGCAAACCATTTTGCCAACAAAATCTGTTGCTTCCTTGGCCCTAATATGAGCCAAGAACTTGGGTACCACTCAGCTAGGATGTGGGCCTCTGGAGAAAGCCATGACACCCACTTAACAGGAAGTTGAAAGAACAGAATCAGCCACAGTAATCCTTCCCTCCTGTTTACCTCCCTTCTTCCACCTTCATATTAAAAAACAGAGACATCACTTTGCTGACAAAGGCCCATCTAGTCAAAGCTATGGTTTTTGCAGCAGTCATGTACGGATGTGACAGTTGGACCATAAAGAAGGCTTAGCACCAAAGCATTGATGCTTTTGAACTGTGGTGCTGGAGAAGACTCTTGAGAGTCCCTTGGAGAGCAAGGAGATCAAATCAGTCAATCCTAAAGGAAATCAACCCTGAATAGTCATTGGAAGACTGATGCTAAAGCTCCAATATTTTGACCACCTGATGCAAAGAGCTGCCTCATTGAAAAGACCCTGATGCTGGGAAAGAACCGAAGGCAGGAGGAGAAGGGGATGACAGAGGATGAGATGGTTGGATGGCATCACTGACTCAGTGGACATGGGTTGAGCAAGCTCCGGGAGATAGTGAAGGACAGGAAAGCCTGGTGTGCTGCAGTCTGTGGAGTGGCAAAGAGTCGGACACGATGGAGCGACTGAACAGCAACAACAACCCCATCTTCATTCCGCTACCTACCAAAGTTAAGAACAGACTCAAGTCATTGAGAAGCAAGGAGCACCACTTACATCAGTGCAGAAATCAGCAACTCCTCTTGGTGCTTCAAGAAGGAAGAGGTACTTCCTAAGCTATGGGAGTGGCTACAGCTGCAGAAGTGATGGTTGACACTAGGTAACTGAACAGCTATAATCCAAAATCAGAAAGCTGCAGGAAACTGTGCCAACCTCATGCAGAGCCTAGCCACTGCACAAACTTGTGTCTGCTGGAGCCAGCACGCAACTGTCACCACTATTGAAGAAAAAGGTCTTCTGCCCCTTTCACCTTCTGAATCTCCCTCAGTGTATCTCATGAGAAGACTCTCGATCATAGCAGCAAGGGTGTCTGTGAAAGTTCTGCCCTCCCACCCCAGCCCTCCCACAGGGGGCATGGAGTGGAGCAAAGGTGGCGGACATGGATCCTGAGTGCCATCACATTATTCTTTCTGTGGGACCCCAAAGACATTCCCAGCCCTGGAAATGACAAAGAATGAACCCACAAGAAAGTCTCTGGGACTCATAAACTTAGAAAATAAACTTACAGTTGCCAGGGAGACAAGGATAGGGAGTTTGCGATGGACATGTACACACAACTATATTCAGCATGGGTAACCAACAAGGACATGTATAACACATGGAACTCAATATTATGTGGCAGCCTGGATGGGATTGGAGTTTAGGGGAGAATGGATACACATACATATGGCTGAGTCTCTTTGCTGAACACCTGAAACTACCACAACATTGTTAATAAGCTATATACCAGTACAAAATAAAAAGCTTGAAAAAGAGAGAGACAGAGAAAGTCTCTAGAAAGAAAAGCAGAGCTGCAAGCCCAGGCAATCAAGGTAACCAAAACAAGATTAGGAACAAACACATCTGCTGCTTATCGGCCTGGTCCAAATTCTGGGTAGGCCCTCTGGGTTTCTGTGAGCTGCTCAGAGGCCCAGGAGAACCATAAGGAAACTCAGCCACATGTAGGAGTTCCTGGTCGGTAACCAAGGTGAATCCTGGGGAGGAGGATGGGGTCGGGAGGGGAGAGTGTGTGGAGACTAGCTGAAAGTTTCCATTTCAGACTCAATCAGGGCAGTTTGGCTCTTACTCACTATTTAGAGATATTCCCATAATACTTTATTTGGAAAACACAAAGACATATAAATAATAAATAACACACAGGACAAGGGTAGGAGGAGAGTTTGAAAACCACTTTCTCGCATAGCACCTCTGACAAACCCTACCATCCATCAGTCTTCACATGTGGATAAAACATCCTCACACACTATACCTGGTGAAAGCATCAGTCAGAATGCAGAAGGCACCCTAGTCACCAGACCTTGAACAGAGAGGAGCAGAACAGAAGTCCCAGGGCCTGCTGTCTCCACTGCAGCCAGAACCAGGAGACAATGAGGAGAAGGGTGGCAGAAAGAAGGGGCAGGTCCATGGCTGCAGGCAGGCCCAGGAGTGGGGCTAGGAGTACAGCAGAGGTGGGATTCAGAGCATGTCAGCAAAAAGAGTTGTCTGATTAATATACACAATGTAGAGGGGGAAATCTACACCAAAAAAATTATTTTCATACAATTCACTTACAATTAATTATTATCACACAGCTCATTATGTTACAAAACTATACACTGGTGGATAATCTAAAGTCATTCCTTGGAAAAAAGAATCAGTGCTGGCTTTTATTCTGAGTCTCTTTTGGGTTGTGCCTATCAGGGCCAGCCCATAGAGTGGAGTACAGGAAGGGCTGTCCTTCAAGTCCAAGGGGTCAGGGTCTTGGCTTGACTCCTCTGGTCAATATAGAAAGTATGTCTCTGTTTGGAAAGCCAGCACCAGCACCAAGAATGCAGGAGTCCAGAGAGACAGGCAGGCACTGCTGGCCACCATCTAGCTGTGGGGTTATTGCCTAGGAAGAGGAGCAACAGATCGGTGGAAATGTGCCTATCCAGAATAGGGACCTGGAGCTGTGGGACTGTAGCACTCTTTGACAAAGAAAAAGAATCTTGGGGCACAACAGGAGCAACTAGACACTCCAAGGCCCCCAGAGGCCTACACGGCTTCTTTCCACCTCCCTCCTCCAAAGACAGAACTGGATTTCAGGATATTAATAGGTTTCCTACATCTCGGCCTTTTTACCCCAGCCACAAGAAAACCAAATGGTACAGATGCTAAGACTAGCACACTGACGACTCTCCCTCAGCTCTCTGCTTCTTGGTTCAAGGATTATTAAAACTAGGTTACTCAAACTTGCTAATCATCAGCATCTGGGCAATGTCAGGCAAGTACCCTGACCACACACAGGCACCACCAAGCCAGTATGATTCCTCCCTGGCTCTCTGGCTCTCTCCCCTATCCCAGCTTGGGTCTGGTGTGAACACCGTGCAGCCATCTCAGGTCAAGACAGTAGAAGCCAAGAGGCCCATGACCTCGGCCTCACCTGGTCCTTCCAGCTCAGCTCAGGTGTAAGGTGCCCAACGCTTGCATGGCCACCTTGAAAGAAAAGACCCCAGACTGAGAAGGTAATAAACAGGTCAGTGTATACCTCCATCAGTGAAGGCTGGTTAAATTTAATCTGGGTTCCCCTCCATCAGAGTGGACAGAAGACGCCCCCCAGGGCTGTGAGGAACAGGAAAGGCTGCTCCCTAATGGTGGGGACACTCCAACCACAGCTTTGAACCTCTGCCTAAGCAAATAAGACCCACATTCCTGGACTGCTGCTCACCCGCACTTACCGAGTGAAGACCCATCAGGGGATGGGGTTCTGGCCGGCCCAGTTGCCTCATTTCTCTTCCAGTCAGACCCACTGGTCGCTAAACTGCTGGAGGCCCTGCGTTTGCTGTGGCCGCCTCCACTTCTTCTGGAACTTTCCTTGTGCTATCCCTGGCAGGTGGGCACTTCTGAACAGAGACATGTGCGGCAGCGACAGTGAGCACCCCATAGACCCAGTTTCCGGTACTAGCGCTTCAGGGGCGGGCACTTCCGTAGCCAAGATGGCAGAAGAGGCAATGGGTTTCTGGAGAGGAAGGGCGAGGGATAGAAGGAAGGTCCCACAGCATGATGCCCTCCCACACCTTTAAGGCTCAGCACCTCACAAAGGCAGATAATGTGAAAGTTTAAGAAGGCTGGGGAGGCCGCGGTCTGGAAGCCACCAGGAGAAGAAGAGACCACTTTCGAAGCTTTGTTTTTCCTTCAAATGCCATCATTATATTCTCTCCAGATGGCCTAGCTCTAGGAAGAAATGTAAGATTCCTTGT